GTAATGAGGGAAAAAATTCGCTGAGGGTCGACCTCACTCTCTCTCCACCACCGCCAGCAACACTAACCCAAGTATTTGCTTTCATTGTTAGCGTCGATAATATTACGTTCACTAATAGAAGCGCTAGTGAACGTGCTAGCATCCGTCGAACCGCACAGGTCTTTTTATCAGTAAGATGACGTGACTAACCGTAATAAAAAAGTTGTACTGACAATACGGTTAACAGGAAGAAATATAATAAACCTTGATAGCGAGAACAGCATGACTGCTTCTAGCCCTCACGGAATTCTTATGGGAGTCTAACCGGATATTTTATGTTACTTGCTACTAAAAGTGGAAACACAGCTAGCACCCATGTAATTATTCGCCGTACTGACAGTCCAGATGCCAACTAAAATCCCAAACATGTGTTTCGCCAAAATTTTGCCGCTGCAGAGCACGGCTGTGAGGGGTTCATTTTTACACCTGTAGCTCCTTGAATATCATGATCTACTCCAAATTCGAAATTTACCTCCGAGGAAATAAAATAGAACTGCTAATAAAGGCAAGTCTTGGGAACGAAATTCGGTGCTGCTTCAATTCTCATGTCTTCTGCGTCAATAGCAAATAATTCTGAAAAAAACTAGTTTCTACAAAAGACACTAACAAGGAAGGGAAAAAGATAATGGTCTTAAAGTGAATGTTACGCGAGACTCTGGATGGTGAGGATAACCATGGTGATGATGATTTAGGGGGGGGGTAGTGGTTGATTGATTGGGGATGGTGATGGGATCCCGGAGCTCAGTTGGCTATAGCGCTAGTTGCACCAAAGCCCTTGTTATCGTAGGCTCGAATCCCACCAATGCCACCGAGTTTTTCATAAGTGGTTCAAATTAACTATTAAAATCGGCCAAAACCCCATACTAATGATTATGATGATGGCGATTATGATAATATTAATAATGATACAATTTTTTGACACGAAAAAAAATAGTATAGGCACCAACAACAATGCCGCAGTTTAAACGTAACGAACAGCCAAACATACATATGTTACCTGTTATAGAGGAAGTAAGACCATTCTCCGCAATAATCTTTTCAGCAAGTTCGCAAGTCCTCTTAGCCGCATCAACTGCATAGACGTGCTTCGCACCAGCCCTTGCACCGAATATCGACAGGATGCCCGTTCCAGAGCCCACATCCAGAAGGACCTGATCATGCAAGCGACTGTGCGCCTGAGTCAGTGCAAGTCTAAAATAAACAAATGCAGAGCCGTCCGTGAAGTTTACAGCCACCTGAGTAACCTAGAGGGACGAGTACTGAGAAGACGCCCTATATTAATCATAAATAGCAAGATTACATTCTATGTTGAGCTGGACAAAAAATATCTCTTAACACTAAACCGAGGAGAGCTTCGGAGAGATTACCGATCGCTAAGAGGAAAGAGTAGAAGTAGCCTCTCCCGAAAACGGCTTCTGTGCCAAGGCTTGTTGCAACTGAATAAAAATATTCAAGATCAGTTTACAAATCGGCTGTGTGCACAGTTTTCAGAGCGGCAAATGTACACCAGTTGCTCACAGTTAAAGGTGAAAACAGAAAATCATCAAATACTTCAAACTTTCGCAGTCCTCACGAGCAAAGAATAAGGACAAAGGAAGGAACAAGTGAAGCAACTAGCCTGTAAGTCAGAGTCCGCCGCCTGTCCGAGAGCATCAAAGCATGTACTTCGTAGAAGGAATAAGATCTGAGGTGGGGAAGCGGATAAGCAATAAGAGGCTAGAGTTTTTGGAATAGATGCGCATAAATTAGTTTAAAAAATGTTGGCTGAGGTGAGTCTAGTTCAGTTTCATTGAAGGTCCACTCAAAATTGTCGCTTTACTGGGACCAGAGATCACAACATAAGCATGAAATGGAAAGGATTCCTTATAATTAACACCGTGCTTCACTATACATGATAAACTACTTATGTCGTTGTAGTAAGCCTATTTTGTGTACGTGTTCAACATTTACCACTCTATTGCACTCCCCACACGAAAATCTTTAGCTTGTTGTGGTTACTTTTAGTTTTATTAGTTTTAGTTTAGATTTTCGTTCATATTTAGTTTAGTGTCGTTTTCAGTTTTGTTTGTTCAGTTTAAGTCTTCAGTCAACTAATTAATTACTGCATATATCAGCTGCGGTGACAACAATAAGAAACGACTCTCGATCCGCGAAAAAAGCACAAACAAAATAGAGCGCGTTAACATAGGTGTTGAAACTTTTTGTCAGTAACGGGAGCTAAATAGAGCCAACCTTTACAATCCTGTGAGTAACTTGGTCACCAGGATTTTGGGTTTTATTCGGCCTCCATTTTTACATCTCTGCGATTGGCTCAGCATCGTAATAGTCTGTAGAGGCGGTGAAATTGTTCAATATCTTTGACCAACTGGTTCAAAACGGGAGACACAGTTAATATGAACCTGTGAAGAGCCTGTGAACTTGAGCATCGCTCTTCTGAGGAAAGAGTATCAAAATACCATCTTTCAAAGTTATTTGGATCTGATACGCACACTAAGCTTAAATCAAGAGGGAAGAACGAAAAGAATAACATTTAAAGCAGACGCCAATATAGAGGATGCTAAATTCGAATGTTTAACACCTATCCGAGACACGAAACCTACCACCGCAATATGTTAACATCTGAGAGTAAGTATCGAAGACTTGTGTTGTAAACTAGACACCGCACGATTGAGATGTTATTAATGAGAAGGCCCAAACCATTCGCTGCTTCTAGTTTTTGTTCACTGAGTTGTCCCTTTCTATATGAGACTCACGTGCGTGCTATCCATAGTTTTTGTGGCTCCATCGTTAGAGCGTTGGACATTTGATCCACAGGTCGCGGGTTCGAGCCTCGATTGATGCACCACCTGGGGTTGGGTATAACTGACTGATAACGGCTAATGATCCAGAAATGGCCATTCCAGTCTACCTCGACTTGCCGGCAATGTCCATCTGCCTAAACTACTAGCCGCTGTGCGGCCGCTGGCGGGGTTTGACAGTGGGCGCCAAGGCAGAACGGGACGAGTGAGTTCCGTTAGCGATCGGTGAGCGTCTATC